CTTAACACAAAGCATAATTCAATCCTAAATTAAATACTAAAAAAACCCCAGTTTGAAGTTGGTTTACATGCAGTGGTTATAAAGGAATCTGGTTTGCATTAACCATTGTTTGTTAACCACTTTAAGGAGAGATATAAATATTCTGAACAAATATAATTGCTGCTGTGTTCATATAAGTACAAAGCATGATTGATGCTAGGAAGCAGAAATCCATCCTTTTTAAAATTACATTTGTTTTGTAAATTTACAAATATATACAGAGAGAGAGAGCACCAACACAAGATATACCAAAGCTTACAACAATCAATATCTTGCCACATTTTCATTAGAAAAAGGGAGTGGGCTAAAAGAGACATTTTACCTTTCCTAACTCTTAAATATAATGTATAACAATTGTCCTAAGGAAAGAGGGGGAATAAGTGTGCATTCCAAGACTGGTTCCCATTCGCACCATATACTTTGGCACCAAGTTTCAGTGGCAAAAAAACCTGAAGACAAATAATGTAAAAAAAGAAAGTAATTAAAAATAGTATTTTTGTCTTGTGTGCTTTAAAATATAACCTTTACTCTTTCAGCATGCCTCTGATTAATTTTTCTAATCACTTCATGGGTGGGAAAAGTGTTTCATTGCATACAAGCCAACAAGTTAATCCTTTGTGTGTATGTAGGGCTTCCTTCTTGCTGGGTATGGAAGGGGAAAGTGTCCCGTGCTCTCATGGGGCTCATCAATGGAAGTCTTACCTTCAGATCTAATTCACAGTGAGGGCTTCCCCTCCCCCCCCGAAAAGCAGCAAACGTACCCCCCACACTCTGCAGCATAGTGTCCACAGCTTTTTAAACAACAGTTTGTTTCAGAAGCAAAAGGAACAGAGCCCTCCTGCAGGGATAGAGGAACTTGATGGACACTATCGCCTGTATGCATCACCTAGGATTGTCAGAGCTGAGGCAGAAGAATAGTATTCTAAACGTATCTTGTTTTTAGGGCTGTGGGTCACAAAATGTACGGATGTCAGTACCGAGAGCGTATTGTAGAAAAGCTGAGGAAGACTGCAGAGCACTGTGACTGTCTGCAATGCTTTTTTGTCATTCATTCCATGGGAGGGGGTAAGTATTGTTCCAACCCAGCAACTAGAAGAGGAGAAACGAACCAAATAAGCTTAAAGAGATTTTGAGTATAATAATCTAAAAATATTCTTACTAAGAATTAATTAAAGCCATTCTGACATTTCTGATCGACTCTACAAAGAATACTCACGCCAGTGTTGTTTCTGAATTGTACCCCTAATATCTAGTGCAAATCAGGTGTTTACTTTTCCCCTTCCTGATGCAGTATCCTCCACCACTCCCTGGGCTATATTTTTCTAAATGTTTTCTCTGTGTTTAGGGTTCACCACATCTTGACTAGACCTGGCTGCCAGTCATTGTTTGTGTTTCCCACTGACCCTGCTCCTCTCCCATGTCCTCTGCTATGAATAGATACTTCTTGCTGCTTACAAGTGCCTTCAAGGGCCAGCAGAAGGTCAAAGAAAAAAATCTACATTTCCCCAGTTACGTGTACATGCCAAAGGAGTGGAAGGCAGGGCAGAGTTTCTGTCTCCTGCCCAGCACAGCCCCGTTTCCCCTTCAGACTTTTCTGCTCTGAGGAAGGAATTTGAGAGAGAGAAATATCTCTCACTATGTGTTGGGTCAGGAAGTCAGTGGGACCGAAGATAATCACCTCTGTTAACTACATCTGAAGATCCCTGCTGTTGTCACTAGCCAAGCTCCGGCTCTTTAAAATCGTTGCAGAACAGAGAATCCTGTTCCCAAGACAGTCTAATTATTCTGGAGGGCTGGCTACAAAAGTGGAGTCCAAAAGCTCCTCCGAGACTAGCACCACTTCTTCCTGTGTAAGCTTCAGTGAGCCGGATCTCTGTGCTGTAGGTGGACGCTTCAGAAACGGGGGGGGGGGGGGGGAGGTGAGCTCTGGCTCATGAAAGCCTGTGATGGAAGAAATTTCTTTAGACTTCAAAGTACCTCTGCAGGCATGGTAAGTTTGCCTTTGTAGGCAACAAAGCCAAAGGAGGAAGTGAAGCAGTGGCTTTAGCAGTCCCTGAGAAATAAGGTTGCCACTGAGACCTGGAAAATTCCTGGATATTGGGGAGGGGGTGCCTGTAGAGGGGGGAGTTGGGGAAAGCATTTAATCTATGGCATACCATAGAGTCTACTCTCCAAAGTTGTAGTTTTCTCCATGGGAACTGAGCCCTGTACCTGCAGATCACTTGTAATTCTGGGAAACCTCTAGGCCCCACCTGGAAGTGGGTAACCCTACAAGGAATCACTGTGCCCTGCAGGGGCTCTTCTTAGCGTGTTTTATCAGACTATAACCTTGTACTGATATCAGTAATTTTCACCTATGCCACTGGTTTATCTGAGCCTCTGACCCCTCACCCAACCAATATATATAAACTGCTAATTATGTTGTGGATGGGAAACCACCAAGAAAGACTTTGCAGTGCAGAGGCAGGCAATGGAAAATCATCTCTGTTTAATCACTTGCCTTGAAAACCCTACAGGGTCGCCATAAGTCATCTGCAACGTGATGGCACTTTACACACATGCCTTCTGTTGTCACTATACTAGTTTTGGTATGCATTTTACAAGCTATCTTGGCAGCATAATGGCACCTAATATGTACCCTAACCCTCAAACCCCCTTCTGTTAGCTTCTGTGTGGTTTCCATGATAAAATAAGGAGAATGCCTTTTTAATGGATTGCATGAAATACATAAATAATATGAAATGCCTTGTTATAAAATAAGAGATAAAATTATGTCTATCATTAAACTTATTCAGATCAATTCCAGGTTCTATGAAAAGTCCAAAATTGTCTGTAAAGTGTACAATTGCTGGTCTCTAGATGTTAAAAAATTATGGGCATAGTATTAGTTTTGATATTCTGTCAATTTTACCATATTCAGTAGTTCTCATTCATTCTTAAGCCAGTTTGTTTTTTAAGCCTTATCTTGCCTTTCTAACGTTTGTACGATTATTACTATTTTGTGGTCTTTGATGGACTTTGCATCTGTGCAGGGCTTTGATTCAGAAACTTCTAGAGAGATCTTTGGAGTTAGAGAACCTCACCCTCTCAGAGCCGTGGTTTTTGTTTTTTCCCTTTTTTAACTAAGAAAGAAAACTAGCTCTGGAGAGAGGATGACAGTCTACCATGAACAAAACATAACTGAGGGGGAAGGCACTGTTCCTCTCGTCTAAGCATACACAGTCTGAACTGTATCTTTGAGTGGAGGAGATTTTTGCTCCTACGAAACTAGCTCTAGAAATGTTTGAATTGTAATTCTGTGCAGGTGTACTGTCAATCAGTAGACCACTCAAAGAATATTAGCTGCAGATAAGCAACCTTTTTTTTTGGGGGGGGGAGGGGGTCTTGCAGTAAGCATATAGAGTAATGGCTTATGTAATCAGGACATTTTTGGTAAAATTCTGAAGGCATAATAGAGACTCCAAAATCAACTATAATTTAAAATTCTTATTTAATGCCTTTGTTACCTTTTCCAGTATTTTTAACTCTAGTACTCTTTATGATGTATGATAAAAATAACCTCTTTTTGTCTTGAAAGTGGTAATTGTTGGTATATTTTATATATTTCCAAGATCTCATCCACCTACTGAAAGGGGGTTCAAGTCTTCCCTCTGTGCCTTTTTCTAACCCGATGTAGTCCCAAGTGGGCACGACTGCCCCATTAGGGAAACCTAGGAGTACCTCGTCAATACATGCTCTGATCTGGATGGCCCAGGCTGGCCCAATCTGGTCAGATCTTGGAAGCTAAGCAGGGCATGCCCTGGTGACTACTTGGATGGAAGACCACCAAGGAAGCCCAGGGTCGCTGTGGCAATGGCTCATGCAGAAAAGAATCAGTCCAATGCATTCCTTCCTCACAAATCTTTCAGAGTAGCAAAAAAAAGAAAATTACCACAAAAATATTCACATATGAACTGCCACATTGAGAAGACAGAAGAAACTTTCAAATAGAAACCTACTTCAGCCCAATCTTGTCAGATCTCAGAAGCTAAGCAGGGTTGGCTCTGGTTCGTACTTGAATGGGAGACCCACCAAGGAAGTCCAGGGTCACTATGCAAAGGCAGGCAATGGCACACCACTTCTGAACATCTTTTGCCTTAAAAACCCTATGGGGTTGTCATAAGTCAGCTGCAACTTTCCATCACAGCTTCAGGCAGATCCCGTTGTGAACACTGATAAAACTTTGTAAAGCTCATCAGTCTCATGATTTCTTAGAAAATCCAGTATAGTAGTTGTAGTCTCAGCTTGTTTTTTCAGTGTTTTATTATTAAGCGTAATGTGCCTGGAAAAGCAGGATTAAAAAATTAGTCCTATATAAGGTACAAGACAGTCTTTAAAGTACTTTCACAACATTGTGTCTTTGTTTTTTCTTGAGTCTAGGGACGGGATCTGGCCTCGGTACATTTGTACTGAATGTGCTTGAGGAGGAATTTCCAGAAGTATATAGATTTGTTACTTCAATTTATCCTTCAAGAGAGGATGATGTCATTACGTCTCCTTATAACAGCGTCTTGGCTATGAAGGAGCTCAGTGAACATGCAGACTGTGTATTGCCAATTGAAAATGAAGTAAGAATTTGTATTCAATATTTCATCTGCATATTACATAGGAAGTACAAGCAGAGGCCCACAAGGAAAGCATGGGGAGGAGAAACCCCACTCACCCGCCTGCTGGTCCCCACTTTCTCCTGCAGATTCTTTCTGCCCCCCTGCCTTTCTCTCCTTTGCCCTCCCATCACCTCATCCTACTCCTCCTGCTATCTGTCCTTCCCTTCTGCCTCTATCACAACCTCTGCCTAACTTGTTCATTTGCATGCATTGCATCCTCCCTTGTTGCCTCTACCACTGCTCATCTTGCTCACTCACCCACCCACCTGCCCAGCAGCACACTTCTCTCTTCCTCACCCCCCCCGCTGCCTATGTTGTCAAAGCCTTGCTCATCTGCCTGTGCTATCTCCTCCCCTCTGCCTCCACTGTCACTTGCCTGGCTCACTCATTCGCCTGGCTTGCCATGCCTCTCTCAGCCCATCCACTACCGCCTCCTTTCATTTCTTCCTCTCTTCCTTGCTTACCTGCCTGCCTCACTTGTCCAGGGCAGTGCCCTCCTCCTTCCTTTGCTGTGGCTGGTTGCCTGTTTATGGGGTTGCTAAACAATCCTCAAAATTGTGGCTGAGGTCTTGTGATGTAGTATCACAAGACCTTGTTTGGTCATGTTTAATTGAAGCTTAGAGTATTTTTAAGAAATCTCACTCTTTTCATTTTGAAAATTTTCTGCAGAGTCGGAGAGTTGGGGGTGGGGTAACCTGGCCTGCAGAGTTTATCAACAGAAGTTAATGGTACTAAAAGGGAGCAGAAAAGAGATCTGTGTGGATGCTATCATCACTTCTTTTGTTTTAATGTTAACAGTTTTCACCAATATCCTGCATTGTTTGAAGCCTGGATCCTGGTATCCCAAAGCAAACAACTTTAGACTGAATGGGAGGGAGTGTGTTATAGTGCTACTGCTGCCAACCTCCAAGTGGCACTTGGAGATCTCTCACTATTACAGTTGATTTCCAGGCAGCCAAGATCAGTTCCCTGGAGAAAATGACTGCTTTGAAGGATGGACAATAGGGAACTATATCCTGCTTGAGGTCCCTTCTCAGGCTCCACCCCGAAAATCTCTAGGTATTTCCCAAACCAAAGCTGGCAACCCTAGATGTTGCATGTATATAGAAAATTAGTAAGTTTGTGCGTTTGTTTAGGACAGAGAGCTGAAGAATTCCCTTAAGCAAATTAGACCTTGGCCTCCTGAGAAGACATGGATTTGTGACTAAGCTAGAGTCCATGTCTCCAGTATCAGACTGTTGAAGCCTAGCAATTCAGAACTGTGTTTAATTCTCCATCTGTGATATTGTCATTTTACAAGAATCTGGCGCAGTACTTAAAACTATACATTATGCTCTGATATGGCTAGAAAGTGCTCCATTTTAATTACCATTTGCAGCTGAGAATGATGCCCATGTGCAAATATTAGTTGGGAAAGGATCAGTATCTGCCTAGAACAAGATTCCTCTAGGAAAGCTATGTCTTCCCTATTAGAACAGTATGTGGTATGCCTAGAGGAAATCCCTGCAAGAAATGAGCAAAGATGGTAGGGTTGCCAACTGGCCTAGAGAAAAATCCCTTGTCCCTTTAATAGAGACTTAATGTGTGGAGGCGGGTTGTTGACACTTTTAGTGATGCGCAGGTAAATACCTAATAAATAACATGAAGTCTCTGTTTAAAGGGCAGGACATTTTTTTTCCATGCTAGCTGGCAACTCTAACATACGGCTACATTTTGTGTACTCAGTTTTATCTCAGTTTTGCCTGAAGCTACTGATAAAAATTAAACTAATTTTGCATGTTGGATTTCTTATTAGCTTTTTCTTTTATGTTTTCTTCCAAAGTCTTTATTTGACATAGTTAGTAAAATCAATCAAATGACCAAATGTGGAAAGCTAGGATCAAGTGTAAAGCAAGCTAGCTTGGTAACTTCAAGTGGAATGAAAACTACCAAGGAGAAACCCTTTGATGCTATGAACAATATTGTGGCTAACTTACTGTTAAACTTAACAAGGTGAGCTTTTGAGAATTTTAATCATTAATAAGTTGCAAATGGTATACTGTTCATCCTTTTAACTTTGAGACCACAAACCTATTCTTAGCTGTACTTGCAAAAGTTGTGCAGTGAAGGACACCTTAAAATGCTATAGGAGTAGATGTTAAGATATTTCTGTCTTTTTCACTTTTGTAAATTTAAATGATGTAATTTGAGGGGGCACATGTTGAATACGCATGCAAATTCTGCCTTGTGCTGAATCAGACCCCTTGGCTATCTAAGTTAGCAGGGCTATTTTTGGGTAGGAACGCACAGGAACGGAGTTCCGGCTGGCTTCAGAGTTGGCCACGCCCACTACAGCCAAAACCTCTGCATGTGGGGCTACAGAGGGAAGGCCTGGAGAGTGACCCCCCCCGGCAAATCCGAGGCTGGTGGGCCTGGGGGGGCCTGGAAGGATCGGGGTGGCATTTAAAGCCAAGGGAAAGAATGGGGCATGGCCTAATATGCTAATGAGCTGCACTGTCCAGGTGTGGCCTAATATGCTAATGAGTTTCTGCTGTTGGGTGTGGCCTATTATACTAATGAGTTCCTGCTGGCTTTTTCTACAAAAAAAGCCCTGTAAGTTAGTATTATCCATTCTAACTGGCAGTCTGAACCTGGGACCTTCTGCATACAAGGCTGGTGCTGTACCACTGAACCAGGATCCCTCCTTATCTCTCCTTATATATAATTGAGTAGTGGGTGCCAAAGTTCTAAAATGCACTCCTTTAGTGTATGGAGGCTTGAACTGTCAGTCAGAAGACTGGCTGCTTTGTGCAGTCCCGCCCAGTGTTTCAAGGTCTTTTGCATATGGAAGCTGATTGGACTTCACTCCATTCCACACCTCAAACTCCCCCCCCCCTTCCCGCAAGGCAGTTGGAATGTCAGTTGCATATGGAACCTTCAAGGTCTTTGACTGCTAAACACATATAACAAAAAACATAAAGTGAGTTTTAATTGATTTATATTCACATGTGAATTATCTCAGAATGAGTGAGTTATATTAAAATCAAAAGATAAGGAACTACTAACAGCCATCAGTGAGCTTCATGGTTCAACAGCTCTCGGAATCAATTCTCCCATTACTACTGGCTACTAGTATGGTATGGCCGAGATTGGGGGGGCAAGGCGGGCGACAGAAGGCCGATGCCTCCGTCGCCCGGCCCTCTACAGAATCCACCCCCCAAACCTCCAGGTATTTCCCTCCTTAGAGCTGGCAACCCTACATTCCCCTCAGTGCCTGTTGGTAGGCAACTAAGCTTGGTCCTGTCACCTACTTTGGCCTTTGGGAGAAAACACATTGGGGCCAGTCCTGATAGGGTTGCCAACTCCAGATGGGAAATTCCTGGAGACTTGAGGGATGGAGCCTGAAGAGGGTGAGGTTTGAGGAGGGGTGGGACCTCAGACAGGTACACTGCCATAGACTCCACCCTCCAAACCAGTCAGTCCCACATAGGGAACCATTGTTGCCAATCTCCAGGTGAGGGCTGGAGAGCACTCAGTATTACAACTGCTCTGCAGAAGGGAGGGCAGAAGTCAGCTGAAGTCAAAGGGGCAGATAATGGTAGGTTGGTGGCTAGCTGGGAAGGAGATGGGGTTGCCAACTACATGCTGACAAATTCCTGGGGATTTGAGGGGTGGAGCCTGGAGAGGGTGGGGTTTGCAGAGGGGTGGGACCTCAGACAGGTAGAATGCCATAGACTCCACCCTCCAAACCAGCCATTTTGTCCTGGGTAACAATTGCTGCCAATCTCCAGGTGAGGGCTACAGATTACTCACAATTACAACTGCTCTTCAGGTAGCAGAGATCAGTTCCTCTGGAGAAAACAGTGGACTCTGTCATTATACCCTGCTGAGGTCACCACAGCAAATTGACACTGTTTGCCCAAAGCCAGAGCACTCCCCCAGAGCCTCTTTCTAGATCTCGTTGTATTGCTTTCACAACGGGCTTTACTGCTAGTGTCACAATAAAGCACTAATGTATAGTTTCAAGAATTTTTTTAAATAATGTAAATTCAGATTTGTGTAGCTTTAGTAGTATTTAGAAGATAAAAAAAACTTGGGGATGCTTTTGGACCTACCCTTATTAACAGAGAAACAGATTGGTGGTGTTGCCACAAGTACCTTCTTTCAATTACAAATTGTTTGTAAATTGGCTCCCCATTTGGATTCTACTGTACATGGTGCTGTAACTCCAGTGCTTCAACAGCTGCCCTGGTTCCCCTATTTCCTTCCATGCCCTATTCAAAGTGCTTGTAAGAGCATTTTATTTGTGAACACTTTTTTGAGGAAAATGGAAGTAAAGTCTTGAGAAGGTATTGTTGTGAAGCTTGTCTATGTTTTTTGTCAATATTGTTTTTTAACTCTGCTAAATTTTCATTTTAAATTGTTATTGCAACTTGTTGCCTGTGTGAGCTACCTCAAGTCTTAGAGGAAAGGCAAGATTTAAATGTTTTAAACACATAAATAAATAAATGTTGAAAGGTCTAGGAATATGTGGTTCTTCCTTGGACTCTTCATAGTTTCCCAGCCACACTCCCTGCTTGCATCCTGCTGCTGATCTTTAGCAGAAGGCTTTGGGTTCAGTTTTAAACATCTAAGAATCTCTTTATGTAATACACTTCCAGCTGTCCCCAGGGAACTGTCAGGCAAAACTTGGTTATCGCTGAAGTTACCTGGCATCAATTTATTTATTATTATTTTATTAATTTTGGCTTGTGTTCCAGCCTCCCCGCAAGCAGGTTCAGAGCGGATGACAACAGTAGGGGTTAAAACATTTCAGAATAAGAGTTAAGACATTTCATAGTAAATCTTTCATAATAAATAATTAAAACACATTAAAACAGAACTGTAAACTAAAACACAGTTTGGTATAGTAATCTTGACTACTGGAGCCACTAGGCCATAGACCAGACCTTATTGGCCATTTGAAGGTGGAAGATTTCAGCAGGGGAGGCCAGTAGATGGAATAATTGGACATTCGCTACCTCACTCAAAGGCCTGGTGGAACAGTTCCATTTTGCAGGCCCTGCGGAACTGTAATCGGTCCTGCAGGGCCCTGATCTCCAGCGGGAGCATGTTCCACCAGGCTGGGTCTGGGGACAACCAGCAAATACTGGTCTGCTCAGCACAAGGCTCTCTTGGGCACATATAAGGAAAGGCAGCCCTTCAGATATCAAGATCTGTGATCAAGATAGTACATTTTCTAATTGCATCGCTAGGTGGCCTGAGTCACAAAGTATATTGTCCACACATATTCCTGGGTACAATTTGGAGCACACAGTGAGATGTCTGAACCTGTGTTTTAATTCCTTCCATTTGGCAGAGCCAGCTTCCAAAAGTCCATCAGCCTTCTCTTTCCAGACTAGTGCACTTGCTTCCATTCTCTTTGAAGAAGGTTCTCTTCTTTGTGAGATAGATATTGTCAGGTATCTCAGCAGGCACTGGAAGTCTGGGGGTGGATGGGGTTTGATTTAATCCCCTGCTAAAGTAGAAACTTGTAGCTCAACAGCTTCAAGTATCATTCATAGGCCCCGGTCACACGGGCCGGAAAATGTGGGGGGGAAGCGTGGCTGTTTGCCCTGGAGCAAAATAACGCGTGGCCGTCTGATCACACGTCCCATCAAGGTCCTGTGGTTAGGGCGTGAGGTGCCGATCACACGGCGCCGCTTCCGTGGCAAACAGGAATACTTTTTTTCTCACCAAAAGGTGAGCATGCACATGATCATTTGTGCGCATCCTATGAAGACTTTAAAAAAAACTAACCGGTTTGCGATGGGACTAGGATGGGACGCAGTTAGACGCCCATCCTTGCCCCGCATTTTCCGGAAACTAGTACATCGTAAGTACTAGTTTTTTACTCCGTATCTTTGGCACGAAGCCACGGGTTAGCCACGGGTGCACTACACTTCCCAGATGTTGCGGTGTGATCACGCCTGGAAAATCTGCCTATCATCCGTATCTTTAGCGCGACAAATGCTCCGTATGAACAGGGCCATAATCTGTAGAAGTTCAGTATCGACAACAGCTCTGCTTACCACTCAACAGAAGACACAAAGCTCATAGCTCAAGGAATGTTCTGGTATCCCTTCAGTAGGGTTCCTGTGTTGCACAGAGGCTTGTCACCCACTGAGGTTGGATGATCAGCAAAAGGTCAATTGCCACAAATGAGTTACTAACTTCATATTTGTATGCCTTTTCAAAAGAGATACAACTGAATAAACTCTTCATTAACAAACAGTATACAGAATTCTTGTATTCACTTGTGTGTTATTTTCAGCTCTGCTAGGTTTGAAGGATCACTTAATATGGACCTTAATGAAATCACCATGAATTTGGTCCCCTTTCCTCGACTTCATTACCTGGTTTCCAGTTTAACTCCTCTGTATACATTGGCTGATGTTCATGTGCCTTCTCGAAAGTAGGTAGTTTTTCTGAATTGTACATCCAGTATCTTGCCCCTTGCCAATAAACCATGAGTCCATTTTTCAAATATTCATAATAGCATTCTATTTTTAAATATTAAGCATGGTACTCTTTTTTTGTCTTTTAGGCTGGACCAAATGTTTTCAGATGCTTTTAGTAAAGATCACCAACTGATAAGGGCTGACCCAAAGCACTGCTTGTATCTTGCCTGTGCTCTTTTAGTCAGAGGAAATGTGCATGTTTCAGATCTCCGCAGAAACATAGAAAGGTTGGCATAAAATATATACTAGGGGAGACATTTCTACTCATGCTGATCATTTCCATAGTCACTATTTCCCCCCCACAAGGTTCAAAGGCCAGCTGTAGAAGGATTGAAAAGGAAACTGTTCATTCCCGACTGTGTGTACATCTGCACTTGTTGGGGGGTGGGGGTGGATAATATCCTAAGTAATTTAGCGATTTAAATAATCTAGTTATGGATTTTCTGGGTAAAGAATTTGTCTACATTAAATGTTACCAGTATTGCATATTTTAAAATAAGATCTTTAGAAGCCAAGCCACAGTATATCAGGGGAAATCTCTTGTTTGTGATACTTTGACACATACTATCATGATTGCTTGGATTACTAGATTCCTACCTAATTCTGAGCTTGACCTTCTGAAAAATATATAAGGGTATACCTAAATATGGTTAAATACCTTTAAGCCAAACAAACTGTTGAGTAACATAAAGTGTTCATCATTTAAATTTATACTTGAAAGAGTTAATAAATTGTGTGTGCAAATATAGTGGGTTTTGTATTGCTGAAATTACATGAATATGCCTATAGAAATAGGCAAATGTGATATTAATATTTGTGCTTTGTGGTGCTTATTTCTTCTAGGTTGAAACCTGCTCTTAATTTTGTATCCTGGAATCAAGAAGGCTGGAAAACTGGCTTATGTTCAGTACCTCCTGTGGGCCATTCTCACTCACTGTTGGCCCTGGCAAATAACACTTGTGTGAAATCTACTTTTCTAGAGCTCAAGGAGCGATTCATGAAGCTATACAAGAAAAAGGTATACCCCAGAATGAAAAGCAATGACATCTTAACCAGTGCTTTTATTCTGTTGTGCTTGTATTATAGTTGATATTAGGAAATACTTAGTGGCAAATACTCAACACAACTGCTAGCTTCCCCTCTGTGTTCCCCACTCTGACTCCAGAAGAGGTTGTATATTACAGGTCTGAATAATGGTCAGTATGCTACAGTTGACATATTGGTCATTAGTGGCTGGGTACATATACTGTACTAGAGAGGAAGAATGGTTACAGGGCTCAATTATGCCCTGTTGATCTCCTCTTGAGCACACACAGCTGCGTGTATGAGAGTAATAGCTTTTAAAAATGCACATTGCCCACATTATTTTCCATGTCAGAGAAATTCACCTAAAATCTGGGTTACAGCTTCTTTTATCATATAGAGGTTCTCAGTTCTGGAGCATTAGTTGATTATATTTTTTAAAATAACTGTGGTTGGATCCAGACTAAATTGGAAATTTCCCAGTTCCCCCTTCCCGCTGCAGACCCCCTCGTGTCATTTTTCAGTGTCTCCTACCTCCCAGGAGCAGCATTTTATGGCAATCAGTGCATTCTGCTGATGGAAACTTTAGTCTGGATCCATCCGATTAATTTTATTCACTTTTAAGGCAAATCAGATTACTAAAGTAACATTTATTCTTATAGGCTCATCTTCACCATTACCTACACACTGATGGAATGGAGCAGAGCTGTTTCTCTGAAGCTCTTTCATCTTTGTCAGATTTAATAGACGACTATAATCAGTTGGATGTCATGAGCTGTGGACCTGCAGTAGATCCACCAAGACTGAAGATAGCTATGTAACAATGAAGGGGGAGAACATTAAAAGTTAAGAAATCTGCTAACTATACATGTGCATTCCAAGTAGTGTTAAGCGCTGTTAACGCACTAATTTCACTGGGAGAAACTTAAGAACTTAACAGCACATTCCAGATGAAGTAAAGTAACAGATGGTCTTACACAGTGTCTCAGAATATTATTCTCGAGGGACAGTTGAAATGCTTAGTTTGGGTGGCAGTGTCACACCAAGTGATCTCTTTGTCCAGTTGTACAGAAGCTATATTATGTACTTTACGGGAATAGAAGGATAGTATAGAATCCTCTTACAGTATGCCTTTCCTTATGTACTGTACTATAATGTGTTTCGTGTTTATGCATCACAGTCAGAGATGCTTCTGTATATATAAATTATAAAAAATGAGTTATTTTCCCTATTGTTTTAAACACTTGTCAAATATTTATTTTATTTACAATTCTTATTTTCCAAATAAAATATATCGATAAAACATAATCTGGCAGTCTGAAACTTTGTCTACAATATTGCCTACACATCCAGTTATCACTTATTTCAAACACAAACCTCAGTTTGCTAAAATACAAATAGTACTAGTTGTAGTTATAAATATAAGGTCCAGCTATATCCACTACTGTATACACTATATATATTTCTGAAATTCAAATACATTGTGAAGATTTTTTCATGTAATTAAACCAAATTCAAATACATAGCATCTATAAAACTTCTTTTACTTAAAATTTTACAACAGTCAAGGGTTGGCAATCCTGGTCATAAATTGTGCATTAAATTGTTGTTTGGTTGCAAATATATTTTCCTGCAGTTGCCCTTTGATAAGCCGTGGCAGAAAAGGAAAAGTGCATCCAATATTGCAGTTACAAAGCTACTTTGATGTTTTAATTGAAGAGAACAAGGTGAGTGAGAATCAGTTAAGCAAAAAAATGTCAATGTATGGCTGGTTTCATAGATATTAAAATACTTTACAGTAATGTCACTGATCACTGTGATACACATAATTGTGCTTTATGGGTCTTACAAATATTCATCAATAAATGCTCAAATCCTTATTTTTTGTTCAGCTGAGGAAATCACAGGCATGAACAAACTGATGTGTACATTTTACTTCTTGGATTGTAAACCACTGGCATAAATCTGATGTGAATTCAAGCATGCACCTTTATACACTCTGGCCAAGGGTTTATAAACCAAATGATGATGCCGTCTGTTCACAGTGAATTGCTTTGTGTGGCATGCGCTTTCCAATGTGTGTTCAAATGTGCCTCCATGTTCTCATACCATCACATACTAACACTTGTACACTCAAGCTGGAGGAATTTTATCATTAGTATAGGCCCAATATAAAATTAAGATTTTTCTTTTTATAACACGTCTGTGATGATAATACTAAGGCTATGGAGACGTAGGGGTTCTATTTTTAAGGCTGTATCAACTTAGGAAGCAAAAAAGAGTTGGTGGAATGGGGCATACCACTGCTGAATGCTAACCCAGAGCACAAAACTTCATGCAAACAGAGAACTGAGCACAGGGAGAAGTTCTAACCACCTCTCTTCTGCAATCACTGGTATAGGGTGATAGTTCTGGTTTTGATTGTAGTCATTATATATATTGTTTATCATGTTGCTTTGAAATTTTGATTATGTACAAACTTTTGAGAATATAGTTGAAACAATTTACCTGAATGCATGTAACTAGAGCTGGATTAAGGCCAGGGTCTATAAAAGAACAACAAATCAGGTGTTCCAATACCTTTTAGCACATTACATGGATATGGTTTGAAATAAGGTTTTGTTGGGGGGGGGGGGAGTTGTTTGCTGTTTTGCAGTTACCATTTTTCCCTGGGATTCTTTTGCTCCTTTTCCACACACACTAGAAATGCTTTGAGTTTATAGATACTTAACTGGAATATGCATCCCCATTTAAGGAACTGAATACATAAATGGTTTAAGATATGTTTGGGCACACTATTCTAGTCTTTATACATTGGATCTTGCTACTCTAATATGCTTTTGTAATTGTCTGTGAATGGCAGTAATAAAGGTATTTGGAGGGGAAAAGAAGACAAAGGACAAAGTATCTATCTTTCATGAATGAGCTTCTGAGTGGTGGGTGGGGATTATTCAGCACTTGTAATTTCAGCCACTGCCATTCACTGTGTTTTAGGGATAAATTTAAATGGACATTTGACTATCTTCCTTCTCATACTACACCTTTATAAAAGCTTGAGATCAGAAAATACATCTCTTGAGTCCTTGCATGTCTTCTGACAAACACAAGATGTGATCCACATCATCTTCCACTTGAAAGAACCTTCCTTAGAGCAGTCAAACTGCACAGAAATCACCGTAGACCTGCTGGGTATGCAACATCTGTTGTCCAGGCACATTCCACAAAAGGTAGGTTTGTATCTCTGTTTACTCGTGCATCCAGAAAAAACTAATTTCTCTGCTTTAGGAAGTTGAAACGTAGGCTGGCATGTTTTTCCTTTAGGAATCTTAAAATATAAAGGAATAAAATCTAAATTTTATGTACAATTTTTAATTACTCTAAATAATTACATTGCAGAGGCATTTAGATGCTATTAAAATAAACAGGTTTGCAGTTTCCAGCTCACTGGCTCTTGAGCAGTTTAAGTAACTCCACAGATCTGACCACTTGCATGTTCAGTATTCCGCACTTTCCCAGACCCTGGTGACAGCCCCCCCACACACACACACCAGAATGGGAAATACTTCCTTGATGCCTCTGCAGCTCAGACCTGATACTAGTTACATCCCAGTACCTCTGATACCTGATTGGCTAGCCCTCAGTTTGGGATGAGGATGAAGACCCATAAGGATGTGGCACTTGGTAATTCAGTTTATGGCACCTGAATCCACAATAAATACTGCTTCCTCAAGCCTTTCAGAGCAGTAGTAAAACCACCCATTCATATTCCCATGATTGGATAGCAATGCAGTTATATGCACACACCCATATACTGGTTCCTTGAAAACCCCAAGTTTTTTATTCTTTGCTACTATTTACCTTTAGTATGTTTGGAAATTTTGTTTGGCATGGTTGAATATAGCACAGTCTCTTTTCCTTCCTCATTTCACATCTGCTGTTTTCATTGGTCACTCTATCAGATATACCAATACCACAGGTTCGGGAGCAAGGTGTCCATGGAGTTGCCTGTACCAGACATTTCTTCTTCAGAACAAGTGGTATGCTTCTGAAAGCTAGGAGACAGAAACATACGGCACTTCACCCTAAGTTTTAAAGTAGCTACATTTATCATAGCCCCAGTTTTGATTCAGTACTAAGCCAACTAAAAATAAGACATGTTGCATAATAATTAAGTATTGCAGGTTCTCCTCTTGGGCTTCCCTGGATTTGTTGCAAAACTGGCAGATGGATTTGTACAGACTCAAATACTATAAAATTTTAGAGGAATTTGCCAGTGCAGTTCCCTAATACTAAGCAACTTGGTGAATCTATTTTTGTTTGTCATTACTCAGTCTCAGGTTTGCAACAGAAAGCAACCTTAACTCTGAACACCTCTTATAATATAGCCAGGCCAGACTATTTAAGTACCTGTCTAAAATGGATTAGGGGCATCAAGTCTTGCAATTACCAGAATACATGTACTGTGAATTTAGTTCCCTATAAATTTTGGTTTCTTTAACCCTGCTTTTACAGCCTCCATGTAGCAAATCCTGATGAAGTTCTAGAGGGATGACAGGCAGGATTTGAAATCTTTGTGACATTCTAAAAAGTGACTGATCATATTTGAAATAGCTTAGGGGACAGGGCAGAAATGTAAGGGTACCTGGGAAATAAGCAGCAGCTTAAAAATCGCAGTGCAGGGAGCAAATTTAAAAGCCTGGCACAGATCTGAAATAAATAAAGGAAAGTTACAAAGTTGTTGCTTTTTATATATTTATAGTATATAAAATAAGATCTGCATTAAAATAGGAAAGTTACAAAGTTGTTGCTTTTTATATATTTATAGTATATAAAATAAGATCTGCATTAAGATAGGAATGTTGTTAAGTAGAAAGCAAGGAAGTTAGCAAATTATTAAAGCTGGTATTTAGCAAGAGTATGGAAAACCTGAATTTTCATTCTCCACTGTGATACATTATGCCAACCATGCATTAATTGCGTATAAATCATTGACTGCTTAGATTATTTTGGAAGCTCTCAATATTTTTGTAGAAATTAGTCTACTGTTTCATTGGATCCCGTATTTTCTAATCTTTTCCCATATTGTTTTATTTGAAGTATTATTCATTTATAATGTGCAAGGTTTTTTTTAGAGTGGTTGATTTTTACAAAATAACATCAAAAAGACTGCTGAGTTAGTAAGACAAAAGCTGCCATTACTTTCTTAAACAATTTTCCGTATTGCAGGCCATCCTGTTTGGGATTTCTAGTTTGCTTGATATTCTTTTGATATACTGACAATGTAATTTGAAAATCTGGAAGGGTTACATGTTAAAAATACAAATAAATCCTGGACTATTAGAAGAAGCCAGGTAACAGCTAATTTTGGAGAACCAACTGTTGGTATGCAATGTATACATACGCTAGAAGCAACTTGGGAGAAGAGCTGTTGTTTATTACATCAAATAATTTTTTCTAAGGCTGCCTGACCAACATGAGAACGTTCTGATTCCTTTAGATTAAAATGCTAATTACTCTCTTTTAAATCATAAAGAACTGTTTCTAGAAAATACAAAGTACGCATAAAATAGGTGATTACTTTAGCTTTGCATACCTGGCATTAATCTGTAACCTGTTGATTGTTGCTCCTTCTGCTCTCCTGGCACACATTTGGAATGTCCAGATTTCCTTGCACCCTTCAGCACAGCACATTCATTGGGTGCTGACTTTGGGATGAATACAGGTGTACATCCAACTGCACCATTGACACACAAACACTTATATAGGGGAGTGGGCTGGAAGGCTTGGCCATTGATATAGTGCACACCACTGAGCTCACAGCCCACTGCGATCATATCTGGAACAACGAAAACAAGCGATTTATTTACAATATTAATAACCCTGTTATTTCAGCTAAATTTTACATGTCAGCTTACATCATTCAAACAAGAAACATTAGAACACTTAAGAAAAACTGTATGTGAGCTATCCCTTTCAGATGCTCAGTCACAGATTTCATAAAATATTTCCCAGCTGCCATATTGATATCTACTAATAATATAATTTAGAATCTGAATATCATTTTAGAGAGTTGAAAGTTATTTCTGTATTCCCCCCTTTAGGATTTCTGGCAATCAGGGGTCATTTTCTGCTGGAGCGCACAGGAGCGGAGCTCCAGCAGCAAGGAGCCCAGGGGGCGGGCACATGCAACATGCCCCACCCCCTGCTCCCAGCAGCCCTCAGTTGGGCCACGAGGAGCAAGAAGCAGCCAGGTAAGTTGCAGAGCCCCCCCCCCCGGCCCGCCTTCAGGTACAAGCTCTCCCTCCTCTGTGAGGGCAGATCTGCACGTTCTCCCCCCCAATAGCTAGCAATCCAAAACAGTCCAGGGCAGCCTGAGCGGTGAGTGTTGCCTTTTGACACACTTCCAGTGATGTCAGGGGATGTGGCATATGCAAATAAGTCATGCTAATAAGTTATGCTAATGAGCTCTGGCACCTCTTTTTCAAGGAAATGACCCCTGTGGCAATGGTACTATGATGCAGGCCACATGACACAGGAGTATCCTTGTTCTTCAGTTTGCAGGCCACCTAAATGTTTTGTGCCAATAAAACATTAACAATTAACTCTGTTTGAAATTTTTGCACCTACTTCGGTATAACTGATTGTTTATTTATTGTATGGCAGAGTTACACACAGGAAGCACATAATAATAAAATAAAGGAAAAATAAAGTGATTATGTAAGTGATTATGGTGACAAAACAGAGGTGCTACTGGAAGGGGTGAAGGCCTGACCCAGGAAATGGATTATCCCCTCTTCTGGATAGGGGTGCACTCCCCAAAAAGGGCAGGTTTGTAGCTTGGGGGTGCTCCTGGACTGTGGCCTCCTGTTGGATGAACAGGTGGCAGCGGTGGCCAGGGGTGCCTTTCACCAGCTCTGGCTGGTGAGCCAGCTGCAGCTCTTCCTGGGCAAAAAAAATCGAGCCACTGTGATGCATGCCCTGCTAACATCAAGATTAGATTACTGCGGTGCACTCCATGTGCGACTGCTCTTGAAGACTGTCTAGAAGCTACAGTTGGTACAGAATGCTGTGGCCAGAGTGTTGATTGGAACGGTTTGTAGGGACCATATCACTCCAGTGTTGTTCCATCTACATTGGCTTCCAATTTGCTTCCAGGCTCAATTCAAGGTGCTAATATTGACCTTTGAAGCCCTGTACAGCCTGGAACCAGCATAATTTAAGGACCATCTTCTCCCAGGTGAACTTACCCATGCACTCTGTTCATCCTCAGAGGCCCCGCTTCAGTTGCCCCCACCATCTGAGACTAAATGGGTGACAACCCAAGAAAGGGCTTTCTAGGTTGTCACACTAAAACTTTGGAACTCCCTCCCCAGGAACTCCCTCTGTCAGTATCTTCTGCTGGCAGGTAAAGGCTTTTTTGCTTCCTTTGGCGTACCCCCACTAACCATTACTGCCCCTCCACCCTGGTTCTTGTATTGTTTGTTTATATGTTTTATTGCATTGTTTTACCATTTTAAATGTTTTAATTGTTCAAATGTTTTCATGTCCGCTGCCTTGGGAACTCTGATCAGGTAGAAAGGCAACAAAAACGTTTTACATAAATGAAATAAATAGAACTATGGTGACAATAGGAGCAGTAGCCATGGTTCAGTGGTAAGAGCACATCCTTTACAAAGCAGAATGCTGTGGGTTCAGCCCCTGGCATCTCCATTTAAAGAGCTGAAGGTGTTGGGGAAAAATCTGCATTGGCTGAATTCCCAGAGTGCTGCTGTCAGTCAGAGTAGTCAATGAACCAGTGGTCTGACTCAGACATCATGCATAACCATGGTTTAATTGAAATAACTCTGGTCAGTCTAATCATCCCATTCAGGCCATCCCACTACCTATTGTTTATTAGGGTGTATCACATCAGGATCTCAACCCAGTCTTAATGTTTCCGTATGAGCAAGGAATGGAAACATCCTGGCTTCATCCTGGTTTGTTCCCCTATACTTCCCTCATTCAGTGGAGACCAGGAGACACAGCTACTCTGCAAGATCAAACGTAATGAAACCAGTATTTGGAAGCCAAATCCTGGTTTCACAAACCATGGCTTTGTACTGAGCTGGGACAATTACAGCAATGTCAGTTATTTCAGCAGTTATTTTATTTACTCTTTTTTGAAAGGCTACTAAAAGGAAACAGTGTAATCTCTCTTTAAATGCCTGGGTTCTTAACAGTTGTAGAGTTGTGCTCAAACTTTTAGAAGTGGAAGCCGCTTCTAAACTTACTGTACGTTTTGGGACCCATTTGCAATGTAACTTTCTCCTCAACATAAACCACAAGACTCTCACATAAGTTAACAGCAGACAAGGTGATATTTAATTTTTCATGTTTATAAATATACAGCATCACTGAGCAACATTTAGCACATTATACAGAAGTAAACTCAAATTTGCTGTCCATCCTCCCAGCGTCTCCCAGCTGACCCTATTCCTCCTCCCTGGCTTTGTGTCCTACCTGGTGGCAACCCACAGTTTGAAAACCACTGAGTTAGTGTCAGGGGTCATTTTGTAGAAAAAGAGGTGCAGGAGCTCATTAGCATAACTCATTTGCATATACTCATTAGCACAACTCATTTGCATATGCCACACCCCCTGACATCACCGGAAGTGTGCCAGAAGGCAACACCCACCACTCAGGCTCCACTGGACTGCTTTGTATTGCTAGCTATTGGGGGGCGGGATGTGCAGATCTGTCCTCACAGAGGAGGGAGAGCTTATATCTGAAGGCAGGCCCAGGGGGGTGCTGCTTCTTGCTCCTTGCTCCTCATGGCCTGACTGAGGGCTGTGGAGGGCGGGGCTTGTTTCATGTGCCCGCCCCCTGAGCTCCTTACGGCCGGAGCTCTGCTCCTGTGCGCTCCAGCAGGAAATGACCCCTGGTTCGTGTGTTAAAGCAGGCTATTCTCTCTAAACATTACTAAGAATAAGTTTTGAAAGGTTGGCACAAATAAAAAGTGCCATTATCTTACTCTAGCTAGGGATCCAACTTGTTGTCTGGAGTTGTTTTCTTTTAAGCCCCCCTCAAAAGAAAACAGGAGTGTAAATCCATAATGCAATTCATGGGATATCAGAAGCTGGACTTTTCTGTCTCTGCAAAAATTCTGATTTTGAAAGAAAAAAACACCAAAAAAAGGTAAAGACTTACATGCACACACTCCTGTTTCATACCTAGGCTTATCTGCAGAATAGTCACAATAGAGCCCCTTGTGTGGGTCGCAGACTTCAGCTTCGTTGCAGGTCTCTCCTGACTGCTTGGCACACATCTTGCAGCATCCACAGCCATCCTTCACCAGGCTCACTCCAGGGATGCAGGTTGGCACATGTGGGCATCTGCAGGGCCAGTGACATATCTCTTTGCGCTGATGAACCTCACTATTTCTTGCAGATTTGTTTGCAGCCTTTCCTTGTTGCTGTCTGGTGCTGGGTGACCTGCAACAAAGCTTTCATATAGGTGGGCTTATCTGAGAGCTGGAAAGCTTAAACAGAAGTCTCGTGATTACTTTCTAAAAAGAAAGGTGGTGAGACTAAAAACTGAAGACTTTGTTTAGAAAACTAAGGCCCGTAATCAGAAAACCCTTTTTGAAGTTGTTCTTAACATTAACCCACTCTAGCATTATTACGCAGCTGGAAACTAGGTATGTTAAAAGTTGTTATTTTAATGTTAAAATGCATTTCCCTCCTGCCTCCAAGACCTCCAAAGGTGATTAAATCTGACAGATTCATGGTGTTTTCTCCTTCATCCCAGTCCTGTCAGCTGCAGCCCTGTCATAAGTTCAAGCATTAAGGTCCTGTCACCAAGGCAAAGAGATGGCATGTCCTCTGCCTCCAACTGAGATCACTGTGGCAGCCACGGACACTGCTACACCAGGCATCAACCTTTGTGAAATCCATCTACACCATAAGAGATTTGTTTCAAGGCAGAAGCGATGCCATTCTTCTCTAATGAGAATGACTTCAGGAGTAAGTGGAGCAGAACAGGATGCCTCAACCCTGCTTTCCAGTGCAAAGGTGTAGGTTTAACTTTCCTGGCACAGGCCAATGTTTGCACAGCAACAGCAAAAACTGAACTGGACTGTGGGCGACTTGTCTAAAAAAAATGTTTCACTTGGGCTCTTCCCAATGACTCTTAAGGATTTAATTGAGTGTGTTGCTTCTTTCATAGAACTGTTCCACTTGGATACACATGGAGGATCCACTTGCAAGGAAATTTTGACATGGAGTTGCTTTCTGTGATCTTACAGCTGTCCTGTTTCGTCCCCTCTTGTCTAATACAGATAACTGGGACCAACAGCTGGGTTAACTTTACCTTTTTATATATATATATATATACACACACACACACACACACACACACATGGTGACCTCTGGTAACAGACCCCTATTGGAGGCCTAGAGGATATTCGGTGGCTGAATAAAGCCTGCCCCCGCCTCCCAGCTGCTGGTATTTCAAGGAGGTCTCCCATCCAAGTACTTGCCAGAGTTGACCCTGCTTAGCTTCTGAGATCTGACGAGATCAGGCTTGCCAGGTCTATCCAGGTCAGGGCTTGAGCTGGGTTATCTCTTCACACAGATGGACTTCCTCATAGAGCATGGGCTTGTCTTGGGGGGGGAAAAACCCCATCTTTCCTGGGGATGTTTCCCGTGTTCCCTTGCTAACTGCATATTCATGTACACTCATGGTACTTCTTTCATATACAGGATAAAAACAACAGCTTTCTGTTTGGGACTTGGTGCTGTTTTATGTTTGAGTTAGAGAAGAAGCCCTGTCTTGGGCACCTCTTTCGTGTAACATCCACTGAGCAGTCAGAAATAATGCTTAGAGTTTCGCCTTGCCCATGCCAACATTCACAGGTGCAGCACCATACCACACATTTTAACAAAACTGCTTGTGTGCTCAGAAGGCTTCTCAGGAGACCGAGCAGCTTACTCAGGAGATGCCAATCAGGAGGCACAAGGGACTATGAGTCCTTCCATCCAAGTGCATAGCACACTCAAGCCAGATATTTGAGAACTGGGTTCATAGCTGGAAGAGCTTCAATAATATCAATGAAAGGAAAGAAGACCTGGCAAGGGAGGGTTTGTTTTAAAACATTTGCATTCTAAGCACATTGGCATTTCTATAGAACATGTTATGAGAATCTTTCAGGGAGAGGGCTTAACACTAGAATGTCACCCCCCCCCCCAAGTTCTGTTCCCTAAAATGCAAATCCTAATATTTCTGAAAAGAGGTTTTCCTTTGATTTGGTTCAAAAGGGAAAAACCCCAGGAGGTGTTATGCTCACCATGAGCATGATGTCATCTGGAAGCTGTCATTAAATTCAGAAGCTTCCTGCATTCCATGCAGGACAAAAAACCCTTGTGAAAGAAGACTTTGAAAAATTACCACTTCTCTGAGGGGGGAGTTGTTTTATTTAAGGTGTAAGAGACATCCGAGAGAGGCCCCCTGCAATACTCTAGGAATTCCCCATATTTCTGTAGTAAAGACTGTAGAGATTGGTAGAGAGTCAGGAGGGTCACTTCTGGGTAAGTGAAGTGAGTTCACAGCATACATGAGCCCCCCCCCCCCTGTTTTCGCCTACTCCAGGGATGGTGTCAGCATATCCTGAGGTGGGGCAGCTGCTGGGGCTTCTGGCAGGGCCTACTGCCACTGATGACGTGCCTCCCCTGCTGCCCACCCACTTGCTTGCAAGCACTCTGCCCTCCATCGTCCCAGCCGTACGCACTGCCCAGCATCATCAGGGAGTGGGCATGTAGGTGATGCAGACATCTGTAGGTACAGGTGGTAGGAGGGTATATGAGGGAGTGGGGGAAGGATGTACAGGCATATGAGGCAGCAGGTGGGAAGGGAGGCATTAGAGGTGGGCCTGTGGTAGGCAAAGGAGAGAAGGGGGCTCTGGTAGGAATGCCAGCCTCCAGGTGGGACCTGGGGAATCCCCTGGAGTTACAGCTCATCTCCAGAGTACAGAGATCTGTTGCCCTGGAGAAAATGGGTGCTTTGGAGGGTGGACTCTATGGTATTGTACACCACTGAAGGCCCTGGCATCCCCAGGCTCCATCCCCAAATATCCGAGTTTCTCATCATGGATCTGGCGCCCCGTTCTGCCACTGATGGCCACTCTCTGCCCAGGGCCCCCTTAAAATCTGGGACAAACCCTAGTTCACTTGATCAACCATAGGCAGATAAGGATGGGGCAGGAAAAGGGTGGGCATTTGGCAATCCTTCGGCCTTCCACACACGTTTTCTTGTATACTCAGTGATAATCTACGCAGGACTTTTGTCTGACTCATTATCTCACCACCTATCAAACTTCCTTGTCTCCTCCCATCCTGTCTGCATACTTTTGACATGCCAGTCGTTATGCTTAGACCTGTACCATTGTCTCTTTCCATGCAAACAGTTCCTTCTCACACTCATGATTTCATTACAGCTCTGATGCCACATGATAGTATCTTGGCTGCTTGGAATTTGCACTTTTAAAAAAAAAAATAGGCCTTAATTTGTTGTGCATACCATAAAGTTAGCTTGATATAGACATGTGCCAGCTCCCAAGGATTTTTCTTAAGCATCGGGGAAAATTGGGGAAAGTAGATTACTATTAGCACTCGTAAACATTTATTTAGTGCCAAGGATGTGAGAACTACTTCGTTCTGGAATTCACATCACTGTGATTCAACCTTTATAGAAAGGGGTTTCTCTACATGCCAATAAAGGTAACTGGACTGAAAGGGGTTTCTCAAAATATTTGGTTTCTTATAAAATATTGGCCAGCCATGAATTCTGTACTGTACTGTACTATTAACCAGAGGTGGGCTGGCTTTAGTCTTGAATGGTCTACCTTTTTAGTAGAATTCTTGTGTTCTACTGATGTGTTTTAAATTTAAGGTATAAGTAATTTTTAATTTATTGGGTATACTTGATCTTAACAATATAAGATTGCTGGATTAATGTCTGCGTATTCCAGCAGTTTTTGCAAAACTCTCTGACGCCAGCAGAAGTTAAGTGGTCCTTTGGAAATTGGCCAGTGTTCTGCTAATGTCTTGAGATCTAACTTTTGTCCACTCACAGACTATGTGACTAAAATCACTTACCCATATAGATATACCACAACATAAGCACAATATATACTAATTCAATCATGCCAAAGTTTGGAAGACATAGTTTGAATCTGAAATATACACAGAGAAAAACCAGCAAAACAAAGAATGAGACTCTGAAGCTTATAAAGTTATGAAACTATTTCATAGGTCACAGTTGTATGACCAAATCTCTTAGTTTCCCTTAGAAATCTTCAGAGGTCTATCATTTCACAACAGAAAATGTATTCAACTTATCTGTTTATAAGTCAATTTTTCCCTACTTTTTGCTTTCCTAGTCTCTTTTTTTTCTATTCACCCACATGACACAGTCCTTCCACAGTTTTCTCATTCCTCTGTGAAGAATTAAAAATAGAGCCATTGTCTAGCAATCATTGTAGGCAAATGGTATATTAAGTAAAATCATTTTGAAGTAAATAGCAACAAGTACTATTGTTGTTTCTAGTGGAGAAGGGTTGTTAGTGCAATATTTAGTATTCCTTAAAAAGCTTTGTAGCTAGAATGAAGAAAAATGGAGATTGATTCTGAATGGTGGGGGGGGAGAGATTGTCTTAATAAGACCCTTGTCATGTTATGGGATGCATTTTGATTGTCGAAGTAGATTTAATAAACACAACTGAAAGCAGTTTTCTAAAGCCAAATTCTTCTGTAGGTTGCGCTACTGCACCAGAGCCAGGAACTAAGGAGGAGAAAGATGTTTACTTGTGGGAGAGGAGAATTTGTTCTGTGCTGTTTTTTAAAAGATTTCCACAGAAATCTTTCAAGCCTCATTCCAGAAAAGGTTCCTTAAGAATTTATAAAATGCTGCACGTCATAATAATTCAGTCAAGGGAATTAAAGTTGCAAATGCTGCAATACAGCTTCTCCCACAACCCCATATTATGTGCAAGGAGCCATTTCCTAGAGAAAATGTCACTAACTGAGCAGAAACAAAAGCCTCAGCCTTTATTGGCTAGGAAATCTTTCTAGAAAACTTACCTGTTGAGTATAAAAAATGATAAGGATAGCGGGGATGAGGAGGCACTGCATATTCCTGTGAAGGCAGGAGTGAAACGAAAAGCCAGTGAATAGGCAGAGCTGTGTCAGAGCCAGCACTGTGTACAAAGTCTCTTCTGTCTCCTCTGCAAACCTGCTTTCCTCAGCACACTCACATGGACACACACATTCGCATTTGGAATCCCTCACAGAGAACCAACTCCTCCTGGAGTCTTTCAAGTAAATCCTTCTTTTGAGGCTTACTCTCCAGGTTAGGGTGGTTGGGTGTTCTTTGTTTCACTGTCTCTTATTTTAAAGCCATCTCCCTTATTTCAGAAAAGTTTCAGATACCCATGTAT